GGGTCAGGGATGGGGTTATGGGTCAGGGATGGGGTTATGGGTCAGGGATGGGGTTATGGGTCAGGGATGGGGTTATGGGTCAGGTCAGAGATGGAGTTATGGGTCACGAATCGGGTTATGGGTCAGGGATGGGGTCGGGGATGGGGTTATGGGTCGGGTCAGGGATGGGGTTATGGGTCAGGTCAGAGATGGAGTTATGGGTCAGGAATCGGGTTATGGGTCAGGGATGGGGTCAGGGATGGGGTTATGGGTCAGGGATGGGGTTATGGGTCAGGGATGGGGTTATGGGTCAGGGGTCAGGGATGGGGTTATGGGTCAGGGTCGGGTCAGGGATGGGGTTATGGGTCAGGCTGCCCCACCGCAGCCCCCCCAGACCGCCACCTCCGGAGGGGGAGGGTGGGCAGTGGTGGGGAAGGTGCTGGGGCTGGACTGGGCCACCAGGATGGAGGTCCCCGAAGCCAAGGAGCCGCATGGGGACAACAGGGAGGGGGTGGGTGCTCACCATCCCCCCTTCCCCAAAGGGGAGGCGAAGTGGGAGGTGGGTGGTGGCAGGGACGTGGGGCAGGGTCAGGGATGTGGGGAAGGGTCAGGGACATGGGGAAGGGTTCCTCCCAACACGTCTCCACCTCCCTCACCGCCCCGAGGCCACCTCCATCCCGGAGGGGTGTCCCAAGGCGATGGACCTTGCCAAAGACAACCTGGAGAAGCTCTCCAGGATGTCCTACACCTGCTGGAGCTCTCAGCCGGAGAACTTCATCAGAAGCTCCAGTTGACGCTGGAGACATCGGTGGTGAGGCCATGGGACGAGAGGCTTGGTCCGTGCACCAGATCTGCATTCCAGCTGTCACCCTGGGCTCTCTGGTAGCCACCAAGGGGTAGGCTGGAGCCTGAGACCCTACAAGTGGCCACCTATAGCTTGGAGATGATTTGTGCCCCGGCCACCTTGGCCCAGTTCTGCAGCTCTCAGCAGAGCTGAGGAACCAGCCGAGGTGGAGACACCTCCTCCACAGAGCACTTCTGGAGATAGAGCTGAGGCCTCACCTCACACCTTGAGAAGGAAACACAAGAGTCCACGTTTACCTCCCCACCCGTGGGTGTCTGCTGGAGATCTGGCCAACCCCCTCCTGGGTTTGGGTCCATTGTTGATTTTTTCAGAATTAAGTCTTAAAAAAACCAGCATTAAACTGTCCCAGGCCCACGGGGAGGTCCTGGGCCGCCCCAGGAGACCCTGTGAGCTCTGCTTGATGAGGCCTTTGGGCTGGTGGTGAGGGGTGGGAGATGGCACCTCCTGACTGGGCTCTTCGAGCGCAGTCCTGGCAGAGACCTGGTTGTCCCACGGTGTGGGTGGAAGGTGACGGTGTGTCAGCAGCTGCGCGTGCAACCCCTCCCTTCCGCTCGTTGCTCCAACCCCATGGATTTCTCGAGCTAAAAAGGCCTTAACCTTTGAGGTCTTCAAGAAAACCGAGGCGGTCCCATCTGCTGGCGCTGCAGCAGTGCTTCTGCTTGGGTGACGATGTCACCTCCAGGGCCCCGTGGCAGAAGTTTTGTCCTCCATGGGGCGAGCAGAACGGTGCTGCCCGTTGCCCAAGCCCTGGAGAAGCTTGTCGTTGGCACGGATGCTTCACCTCCGGAGGTGGTGAAGGGAGGGAGGAAAGGAGGGAACCAAGGGAGCGCGAGATCTTCAGCCCCTGCTTCCATCTGGGACGTCTGTAAGAACCAGGCGTCATCTGACCTGGCACGATGACGTTCAACTTGGTGCCTCCACCCATCCCCCAGTGCCTACAAACCTATTTAATTCCCTCTGTATGAGCCGTGTTGGTGGCTGGACACGGAGGGAGAAGGACGACTGGATCATCACGAGACTGAGCAGCCTGTTGCTCGGTGTGTCCGTCCTTCCTGGAGGAGCGCGTGTTCGTCACCTCATCCTTTCCATCAGGTTGGGTGGGTTGGGAGGTCGGGGAAGAGCTTTTCCCGCAGCCTGGGGTGGGGGGGGCATCGAAAGAACAGCAAGAGGAAAAAACAGTTTTTAACGCGTCAAGGAATTCCTACAGTTCCAAGACGGTGACATCAAACGGCATCTCCTCTGCTTTTCAACATCCTCGATGCCTTGAGGCGTCCCTCAAACTGGACCTCCTGGAGCGTGAGGACGCCTGGCGTGGGGCGAGCCAGCCCCTCTGAAGGTAAGTGACTGATGCAATCGGACACGTCCCTGCAAGAAGCACCCATTCCCCTGTAGAAGGGGAGAAATGGTGGGCATCCAGAGGTAGGTGGGCATCCAGAGGTGGGTGGTACATCCCCTTAAGACGTAGCTCGGTTGACTCTCCTGGAGTCCGGTGGGGGTGCTGACCACGTTGCTCTCCCCGGGGTGTTGTCCCACCCCTCGCCCAGCTCTTCTGATGGGCTGAAGGATCCAAGTTCATCCCAGTGCAGAACGTGCAGGGGGTCTCCTCCTGCTCCCATCTCCATCCAAAAAGTCCCACGAGCTGCTATGGTGGATGCAGATCTCGGGGGAGAGCAAGGGGAGCGTGGGGAGGCTGACGGAAGTTTGGAACCCAAACTTCTTGCTGCTGTGGGCCCCTGACCCCACCAAGGACCTAATGCCCTTCCTGCTCTTCTACTTTCTTCTTCCCAGTTGCCATCGGTGCCTCTGCGCGTGGGGGACGTGGCACAACCGAGAGGTGGAGAACGAGAAGGTGCTTTGTGCTTGACACCCAACCGAGTGTCCACAGGGAAATTCAGCCTGAAGAGGGGAATATCCCCAAATTAGTCCTTGCACGAGGCTGGAGCCCACGACGCCCATCTTCTGCTCATGTAAAGCTGCTCCTCCTGCTCTTACAGTTGGGTCCTCACAGACTGATTGACTGATTGGAGTAACTCCGTTACCTGCAAAGTCCCCGTACCAACCGTCACAGAGAAACCAGGGATTTGGCTAAAGGTGACCATGGAGGTCTTCAAAAGACATGTAGAGGTGGTGCTTAGGGACGTGCTTTAGTGGTGGACTTGGCAGTGTTAGGTTTGCAGGTGGACTCCATGATCTTAGGGGTCTTCCAACCTCAACGATTCTGCAGTTCCATGATTCTAGGCCGTTCTTGGCTTGGCCATTGAGCGTCAGCATGGATCAAGACTGAGTTTAATGTAAATTAGGGACGTCACCGAGTTCTTCTCAGCTGCACCAGGACGGAAACTCTGAAGGTACGTGAGATATTGCTGGGCAAGGGAAAGGTTTGGTAGATCTCAGACGGGCACATCGATTTCCACATTATTTCTCGTGGGAGATAGCTAGAAAGCAAGAATTTAAGTCTGATGTAGGTGCTGTTTCCTCCACGAGCTGCGGCTTCAAATGTGCTCTTCTTCGACAAAGCCCAGATGAGAAGAGACAACCAAACCACCCCGAGAGGGTTCGTTTTGACCGGGTTTTCCCACTTCCCCGAGCTCCAGCTTGCGTTGTTTGTGCTATTTCTCTTCATGCACGTGGTCACCCTGGCTGGAAATACAGTGATAATAGTTGTTATCAGGGTGGATCGGGGGCTGCACACCCCCATGTATCTCTTCCTAGGTGCCCTGTCCTTCTCGGAGCTCTGTTACACCTTCTCCATCACCCCAAAGATGCTGTCTGGGTTGGTGCCGGGAACTCGAGCCATTTGTTTCCTGGGCTGTGCCACACAAATGCATTTCTCCTTCACGTTTGGCTTCATGCACTCTTTGACGGTGATGGGGTATGACCGGTACGTGGCCATCTGTCACCCCTTGCGTTACAACACCCTCGTGACCCCCCGTGTCTGTATCCAGCTGGTGGTCGCCTCATGGCTGGGCGGGGGCCTCCTGGGGCTGCTGGTGACTTGCGCTGTCTTCCAGTTACCCTTCTGCCAGTCCCACCAGATTGACCACTTCTTCTGCCACGTACCCCCCCTGCTCCAGCTGGCTTGTGCTGGTGGCGAGATGGTCGCCACCGTAGTCAATGTCCTTTGCATGACTGCCTTGTTGGGTTGCTTTCTGCTCATCCTTCTCTCCTACGCCTTCATCCTTGGCCGCATTCTGCAGATGCCTTCAGCAGAAGGAAGGCACAAAACCTTCTCCACCTGCGCCTCCCACCTTGCCGTCGTGGTGGTGCACTACGGCTGCGCCTCCGTCGTCTACCTGCAAGGCAAATCGCCCCACACTGCGGGAGCAAGTGCTCTCGTTGATGTGTCCTACACGGTCTTCACCCCCTTCCTCAGCCCCATCATCTTCAGTCTGCGAAGCAAAGACTTAAAAAAAGCCCTTTGGAAATCTCTGAGGAAAAGCTTTGTCGTTGGGAAGGCGAATTTTTGGCCAGGCTTCAGTTTCAGCTACAGGAGTGTTTATCGCTAATTTTTCTTCTTGTTTTCCTTTGGTGATTCATAGAATCACAGAAAGGTTTGGGTTGGAACTGACCTTAAAGATCATCCAGGACACCTCCCCCCAGCCCAGGTTGCCCCAAGCCCCGTCCAACCTGGCCTTGAACACCTCCAGGGATGGGGCAGCCACAGCTTCTCGGGGCAACCTGCCCCAGGGGCTCACCGCCCACACAGGAAGGATTTTCTTCCTTGTATCTCATCTCACTCTCCCCTCTTTAAGGTTAAAACCGTTCCCCCTCGTCCCACGGCTCCCCTCCCTCATCCAGAGCCCCCCCCGCTCTCCTGGAGCCCCTTCAGGCACTGGAAGGGGCTCCGAGCTCTCCCCGGGGCCTGTCCCCAGAGGGTGTTCCCTCCCCCTGCCCCGCCCGCAGGGGGGTCTCCCCAGAGCAGAGCAGAGCGCAGCAGAGGGGCACAGTCCCCCCTCGCCCTGCTGGCCACGCTGCCGGGGACGCAGCCCGGGTTGCCGGTGGCTCGCTGGGCTGTGAGTGCACGTTGCCGGCTCACGGCCGGCTTCTCCCCCACCGACACCCCCGAGTCCTTCTCCCCAGAGCTGCTCTCCATCCCTTCATCCTCCAGCCTGGATTTGGGCTGGGGATTGCCCCGACCCACGTGCAGGACCCTGCACTTGGCCTTGAACTTCCTCAGGTTCACACGGGCCCACCTCTCCAGCCTGTCCGGGTCCCTCTGGATGCCATTCCTTCCCTCCAGCGTGTCACTGCTCCACACAGCTCGGTGTCATTGCTGTTCCACGATGCACTCCAAACAATAGCCATTCTTTTTCCAGGAAAATGAGGGATTCTCATGGCTCCCACGTCTTTTACACTCCCTGGGGAGGGCTGACCTTGTTTGGCTGGAGTGTTTTGGTTTAACTTCCAGTGTTGCACACTCAGCACCAAGCAGAATCGAAGGTGACAGCAGCTCCAGTGCGCTCAAAGTGGAGACACACACAACTCCTCGAGGAGCAGCTGGTGAATCGCTCTGAGACCTGGTGCAAAAGACTGTTGTTCCCACCACAGGGACATGGACGTAGGGACTTTGCCTCTTCCACTGATGACTTTGGGGCTGGTCCAAGAAGGTCTTGGCTCGAATCCCTCTTGGTTTGTTCCTCTTTAAACACAAACTCAAACCCACTTAGGGACAAACACAACTTACTTGTTGCATTTTGTCTAAAGCAATTAAAGGTGGCTTTAAAAAGGTTGTTTACAATCAAAGCGTTTTGTCTGATTTAATACTTCACCTATTGGTGGTCCTGTTTATACAAAACACTTGTGGGGTCAGCAAGCCACCGGGAGAAGCCCTGGAGAAGCAGAGACTTGGAGGCCTCTCATGGGGCCAACCGTGAGTGTCCCAGTGCTGTTTTGGGCCTCCTGGCAGATGAAAGGTGACTCAGACAGAAATATTTATCCCTTACATCCTCGTCGATAACTGTGGCGTAGCACCTGTTGGTTGTTTTGGGGTTGTTTTTTTGGCTTTCTGTTCATTTCTGCCTGAAGAGCAATCCCCACCAAGGCAGAGGCTGGTCACTCCAGCTCCCAACAGGCCCTGATTTCCTTTATTTTTAATTTTAAGTGGATTTTAGGACCACAAACCACACCTCCCCCCTTCCCAATGAATGCATCACTGCAAGGCGGGGGGGGGGCACTGACAGCAACGGTGGGTATTGCTGACGGTGAGGGACGTGCACCCCTCTGCCCTTGGGAAGGCCACCGCAGTGGGGACACAGATGCAACCCCTGTCCCTGGAGATGTCCTTTCCCTGAAACACCGAAGCTCCCGTGCACCTAATGGCCAATTTCCCGCTCTCTTCGAGGCAAAATTCATCCTAATTCTGAAAGTGGGTTTACATTTTGTGGAGCTCCCAGTGGACACACTGAAAACCTCCCTGGTTCTTCAATGGTGATGAGCAGATGCTAAAGCATCTAATTGAGGAGGTGGACACAAGAGGAGGTGGACACCTCCTTGGGACACTTCCAGGGTCAGCAGACCCCTTGTGTTATTTGCATACATTTGCATGGCTTTGCAATCCTGGGGCTCCTTCCCTTTGGGCCGGGAGGTGGATCCTCTCCTCTCCACTAAGGAACTTAAAAGAAAGGGTTAAAATTTCTGGGTTGGGAAAAGGGCAGAGAAATACTGCAGATATTGTGATGGAGTGTCACAGGTGTTGGTGAGGCAGCCAGTGACCAAACCAGGGCTTGGACATCTCATTGCCAATTGTCTGGGGGAGGACGGGCAGATGCTCTGGTGTGAAAAGGCAGGGGTGAACATCAGAGAAAAAATGTAGATTTCTCTTACGCCCTCCATTTAACTCTCATTCTGAGTGACCAAGGAAAACTCTCCTGGGTGGAAGGGACATCTCATCCAAGACCACAGACTCAAAGGTTGGCTTCTGTCCCATGTGGGACTCCATAAAAGAATCTGTGTCCACCAGGAGCTGCTGAAGAAGTAAGAAGGGCATTGCGGAAAGGGGAAATACCATTCATATGTAGAGATATTCTCTGCTGATAGATGTTTTCCAGAACTTTTCCCCGCTTCTCCTCAAACTGCGCCTGCAAAGGAGGGTAGGAACCTGCTTTCTCCTGATGTCACGGGGGAGCCCAAGTCACAGAAGGGTCCAAAGTTGAGTAAATGCCATAAACCAATGCAGCACCCAAATGGTGCCCTTTCCCTAAACAGGGACACTGTAGCCATGCCTGGGGGACCAGAAGTGTCACCTCATCGCAGGCCTTGATTTTATGGCTAAGCCCAGGTGGAATTTCAGTAAGATTCCTGCTTGGCCCTATTTTCACCTGGAGGTGAAAAAGGGTGATAAGGCACCGGTTGCCCAGAGAGGTTGTGGCTGCCCCATCCCTGGAGGTGTTCAAGGCCAGGCTGGATGTGGCCTTGGGCAACCTGGTCTAGTGGGAGGTGTCCCTGCCCATGGCAGGGGGGTTGGAACTCCATGATCTTCAAGGTTCTTTCCAACCTAAACCATTCTATGATTCTATAACTTCATCTGCATCATCACGAACAAGGGGAGGTGACCGATATTCTCGGTAGAAAGTGTCAATTGCAGTGGGATTTGGCAGGTGACCCTATATCAGTAGTGGGGTCCCAGTACCAGCTACAGGAGCCAGTGAGGTCCCAGTGTCAGCTCCTGGGGAAAGTGGTGGGCTCTCAGTGCAGCTGCTGCAGCAGATTGGGGTCTTGGCCACCAGTCTTTGGGGTGTCCCATAAAACAGCTACTGGGAAGGACTGGTGTGAGTGAGGGGCTCAGTGCCAGCGTCTGGAGTGGGACCATGGGTGAGAGCCCGAGTCCCTGGTGCTGGCCGGAGGGGTAAATATCCGTGTCTTCCTCGATCCCGGTGGGCACTCACCGGCAAACTTCGAGCCGGACCAGCCAGGGGGGAGGGGGTCCTGGGGTCCAGGCTGGGGTATGAGGGGTTGACGAGGGTCCCCGGGCACCTGAGGGGACCCACGAGTGTGGGGTGCCTGTGGGATGAGCTGGCAGTGCTGGGTGTTTGCAGCGAGCACCGAGATGGCCCCGGGGACGCGTGGGGTGGGTCAGAGGGATGGGACCCGGGCACGGGAGGGGAGAGCGGGGGGCAACAGGCACGTGGGGTGCCCACGCGTCAGGGGGACGGTTCACGGCCCTGTTGGGATAACGGGCATGGGGGCATGTGGGGGACGGGGACATAAGGGGAAGAGCGATGTGGTGTTTCTGCAAGGGGGGAATGGGGGTGTCCGTGGGGGGTGGGGTTTATTTTCAAGGGGGCCGTGGCATCCCCTGGGGAGGGGGAGAGGGAAGGGGTAGGGCTCAGTGAGGGGAACGGGGTGCAGGGCATGTCCGTGGTGGGCTGCTGGGGAACGAGGTGCCCACGGGAGAATGGGGACTGAGGTTGCTTGGGGGGGGTGCTGAGGAACATGTCTGTGTGTCGGTGGTGCGTGTCCTCGTGAGAGGGTGGCGCGAGGGACATGAGTGCGAGGGGACCACGGTGCGTGTCTGCAAGAGGGGAGCACAGGGGTCGGTGGCGTGCGTGCTGGGACACAGGGGTTCAGGGGCTGACCAGGGTGTTCCTTGGCAGGCCCTGGGATGGGGGGTGGCATGTCCAAGAGGGGCATGGGGAGAAGCATTTGTGGGGGACGCCCATGTGGGAGAGCAGCAGGGGCCATGGCAGGACTGTCAGGGCGTGCGTGAGAGAGCTGTCGTAGGGGACGTGTGTGTGTGTGGAGCAGAAGAGGAGCACGTGGTTGGTGCCCCACGGGGAGATAAGGCGATGTGGGGGTCGGGTTGGGGCGGTAGGGCTGGGGAGGTGAGGGACCCACTTGGTGGATACAAGCGGGAAGGGGGAAGCGCAGCACAGCACACGTGGGTGGGACAGAGGGAACCTCCTTCCCTGCAAGCCCGTGGGCTGGAAAGAACTGTTTTGGCTGCTGCCGAATGTGCTTGCACAGCATCAAGGGCTTCTCTGCTTTCCAGTGTGCCCCCACCGCCAGCAGGCTGGGGGTGGGCAAGGGGTTGGGAGGGGACGTGGCCAGGACCGTCGACTGTCATCTCGTCCAACGTCCCTGCCGTGATCAGGGACATCTGGCACTAGATCAGGTTGCTCCACGCCCCGTCCAACCTGACCTTGAGCACTTCCAATGATGGGTCATCCACAACTTCCATGGGGCATCCAGAACCACTCTGG